TTTCTGCCCCCCTTCCATGGTTTTCTTTCTTTCTTTTTTTTTTTAAGATATCTCTGCACCCAGTGTGTGGTGCAAACCCAGAACCCCAAAATCAAGCGTCACCCACTCTCCTGACTGAGCCAGCGGGCACTCCCCTTCCCTCAGTTTTTAAGCCTCGTCCTTGGATGCCTGTCTCATTACAGACTCCCTGAGTCTCTCCTGCTCTTCCAGAAGCCAGTCACCTTTGAGGACGTGGCAGTGAACTTCACCCAGGAGGAGTGGATGTATCTAGATGCCAGTCAGAGGGCCCTGTACCAGGACGTTATGTCAGAGACCGTCAGAAACCTGATGTCTGTAGGTGAGAGCCTGGGGCTCACAGGGCTCTTGGGACATCTGGTTTCCCTCAGCAGGCAGCTCCCAGTTGGCTTTACTGACCCCGTATCTTCCTTACCTTACAGGTGTGAAAGGTGTAGGTCACTAAGCTTGGGGTAAAAGAAGAAATAAAAGCCTTTATGAAGGCAAAGATAATACTTGTAACTTGATGACAGTTGGAAAATGTACCCATTTATCTGAGCAGTGTTGACTGAGTTGCTCCTATAGTGTGCCGGGGACTTTGCTAGGGGTCTCCTCACCTAAGTGTCCCACATTGTGGTCCTTAAACCAAGGATATGGAAGGAGGTAGCCTGTTGTTCCCATTGGATAGGAAAGGGCCAGGCCTGGGGCCTCAACCTTCTCTCCTTCCCACCCCCGAGTCGGCATCTTTCTGTCTAACCCAGATCTGGTCACGAAGCTTGAAGAAGAAGAACAGTGGAGGATCGAGCTCCAGCTCCAACCCCCAAATGGAGAAGGCCTCCCTTCAGGTAAGTGTGGCAAAGGTGAAGGCGGGAGGAAGGTAGGGGCCAGGACATGCCCTGGGTGGCTGGGAAGCTGACCCATGGCGCCAGGGTTCAGGCACCCTCCCCCGGCCCGCATCCTTCCAGGAGAGCTGGGGCCATTCGCTCACGCCCGTGGCTCCAGAGGAATACCTAAACTGTTTGGGACAAGCGAGCATCTGGAGTCTCTAGGATTGGGCCATACATAGACTGCTTACGCTCCTTCCGAGAGAGCAGACAGGAAGGGACATGAGCTCAGTGCTGAGCTCATGCAGGGGACACTTGTGCTGACCGCATGCTCCGGCTCGCGCCTCTCATCCCAGCTTGAGTAGTGAGGGCACCACCCTTCGCTTTGGTGTCCCCATTTATATGACACATGAGGTCACCTATAGGAGTCAGTGGGAGCTTCTGGAAAGTGGATTTCCAGAAATGTAGGTGTAGCCCAAAGTTCTGATCTCTGATCTTACTGGAAGATTCCACTTTAAAATTTTTATTTGCTTTGAATTTGGAAACCCAGACATCTGCTCTGGCTCTAGCCTGTGAGGCCCGGAGTAGGAGAGGGAGGGAGGGCGGGCCAGGGACCCTCTGGTGAGTGGGTCTTGTTAACCTGCCCCCCCCCCCCCCCCCCGCCCACTGCAGGAAGCAGGAAGCAGGAGCTTCCAGAAGGGAGTCCAAGCCGCAGGGGCAGAGATGAGGAGGTCCCCCTTGCTTGCAAAGGCTCAGGACGACCCTGTGCCCCTGTGGGTTCTGGGCCCAGGGCCCCTGAGTGTTCAGCCCCCCAGGCCGGGCCACCGTTCACCTGCCACGTGTGTGGCAGGACTTTCAGGAAGCGCTCCAACCTGCACAGCCACCAGTTTGTGCACAATCCCCACAAGACTAACAGCTGCGGCCAGTGTGGGAGGTCGTTCCGGAACCCCAGGGACCTCAGCTACCACAGGCGCATGCACCTGGGGGAGAGGCCCTTCTGCTGCCCGCTCTGTGACAAGACCTACTGCGACGCCTCGGGGCTGAGCCGTCACCGCCGTGTTCACCTGGGCTACCGGCCCCACTCCTGCGCCCTCTGTGGAAAGGGCTTCCGGGACCAGTCTGAGCTCAAACGCCACCAGAAGACCCACCAAAACCGGAAGCCGGTGGCCAGGGACTGGAAGCATGTTGTGAGCTCTCCAGGCTCCAGCGCTCTGTCTTGGGAGCCCCTGGACAGGAGCCAGGCGAGCAGCCGGGAGCCCGCGGCCGGGACCCGAAAACCTGTATTTGGAACCAAGGGTCCTGTAGCTCAGACCCAGCCACCTGCAGACAGGAAGCAGGCGATCGCTGTGAAGCCTCGGGCACCGGCCACGGCAATCCCGGGGCCTGAGACCGGGACCCAGGAGCCTGACACCAGAGCCCCCTGCCTGGGCACCAGTCCCCCAGCGAAGCCTTCAGGACTCCAGGTCTCCTCTGGCCCTCACTGCGCCCCGACGCTGAGCGGGAGAGCCTGTCCGTCCAGCCACCACAAGGCCCACGTCACTGAGCCACGCTGCTGCTTCCGCTGTGGCAAAGCCTTCGGGTCCCTGTCGGGGCTGGCCAGACACCAGCACACACACTGGAGGCAGCAGGTGTACCGCTGCCCCGCCTGTGACGTCTGCTTCGGGGACAAGGAGGGCCTCGTGGGCCACTGGGGGGCTTCCAAAGGCAAGGACCCGTGTCTGGGCAGCCCCCACGCGTGCCGGGCGATCCTGGCCCAGTGGCTTGGCTTCTCCCGAGACACCTCCCCTTTGGCAGGAAAGGAGCCGGTTGTGCCCCGGGATCTGGGCCCTGGGCCCCCAGGAGAGGGCAGGGGGGAGGGGAGAGGGGATGCAGAGCCGAGAAAGCAAGTGAGGCCGTGAGGGTCTCGGGACATGAAGAAGCAGCCGTTCTGTGCACCTGCGTTTCCTAGTCCTGACCTCCGGGCACAGGAAGGGGTGAGGGGTCATGAGGGAAATGCAGAAAGGAACAGGGGTGAGTAGTGGTTCACGGAAACCTGTATTATCATTACTTAGCACCTGCTTGTTTCTTTGTGTCTGACAGACCATCAAGTAGTAATTGTTGCAGAAAACAGTGGAGGCTCTGATGGACGGGAGGGAAGGGGGCTGCGGGACATGTCCGGGCTCCCCAGGGTCTCCAGCAGCTTGCTCACTCAGCTCTCATGGTTTGGACCCTCCCTGCCCCTTCCCGCAGCCCTCCACCTCTCTGCCCTGCCCCTCAGGACTGGCATCTTGGAAGAAACAACCACCATTTTCGAGGTTAGAGCACTGGAATGTGCAACAGGGGGGTCCTGGTCACAGTCCGAGGCTGAGAGCCTGCTGCCTGTGTCGCTGTCCAGCTCAGGTGACCTCATCGGGGAGAGGAGCGCCCGCCTGGCTGTGGCCAGAGGGGGCTTCCAGACGGAAGACAGGACAGGAGAGACGAGGGGACAGAAAGGCCACGACAGAAGGAAACGCAATCCCATTGGCAACTCCGAGCATTCCTGGAAACGCAGATTGGAAAGTCCCTGCAGCGAGGAGGCCAATGAGTGTTCAACATGGGGGATCTGCATCCTGAGGGCCGGTCCATGGGCCAGTCCAGCTCAGAAGGGGTTTCCTGGAAAGAGGAGACAGTGACTTGAAAATCTGTCAGTGGTTACGATCACCAACCCATTAAACCCGAGGACAGGGAAAGCCCTGGCGAAGCCTCTCTCCTCCATGGTTGGTCTTGGAGGTGAGGTGCCAGGTGGCTGCTGGACAGTGTGGGAATTGGGCAGTGCGTGGGAGAGGCCCCTGTCTCCCCCTTGGGGTCGCTCAGCTGCCCCCACTTCCTTTTTCTGCCTTCCTGGCCTTTGGTTCTCAGCTTACAAAAGGAAGAAAGGAAGAAAACTTACTTAGCTCTTCAAGAAATTGCCCTGAAAAAAGAGAGAGAGAAATGGGTGACCGGTGGAAGATGACGGGCCCCCTCCCCACATAGTCCCTGAGGAGCCTGGGGTTGGCCTTGGGGACACAGGGGCGACAAAATCCGGTTCCCTGCATCTTAAGCCCTGGCCCCACTCTTTCCCTGTTCGGGGATGACCTGGTGCCCCATTGCTCTGGTCACCCTTGTGGCCCTGTGCACCTGCCAGTCTCCGATGCAGCCAGTTGTAGCAGATGACCAGGGCAAGCAGGGGTCCGAGCACCGGCACCAGCGTGAACAGGGTGATCTTCCAGCAGGGCACCCTCAGGAAGTGCGGGTCTGGGTGGGTCACAGAACAAACGGGATTAACGACTGCGTGTCCTTTGAGCCCCACCCACCCGCACTCCTTTCATTGTCGGCATTCTCAACCTGGGCTCCAGGAACCCACAGGGGTCTGCAGAGAGCTCAGGGCGTTTGTGAACTTCGGGGAGAAAAGCAGTATGTCATCAGCAGTGCCTGTGCCTGTATCGCCGGTGGAAACCACAGATGACTTTCATTCCCATTGGGGTTGTTGCTGAATTCTCAAAATGTTTGCCAGTGTTTTGAAATTGTAACTTTTAGACCTGCTGCTACATTCTTATTTAAAGCATTTTTGTTATTTAAAGAAACGTTCATTACTATATTACAGATCACGTTACTAAATGCAAATGTGTTTATATTTTGATACCTGTATTTCAATTCAGTGGTTCTCTTTGCAGTCCTCTGTGTTATGGTTTATGTGTACGTTTAAAAACATTTTTCTGGAAGAGGGTCCCTTAGACTTTGCCAGAATGCCGAGGAGATTCACGGGACAGAAAGAATCTGCGTGAACCCTACAAAACAAAGATCTTGGTCCTCCCTGTTGGGTTGCAAAGATGCGTCTGTGCGTGCACGTGGGCGTGTGGCCTGCACGCTGATGCGATGCCCTGGATGCTCACAATTGCCCGCTCGCGGCCGCGAAGGCTGCTCAGAGCAGGGCCCTGTGCTTTGCTTATGGCATCTTCCAATTTCTGCACCGTCCACACAACTACTGTCTGGGCCCTTCTGTTGCAGGCGCTCTCCTGAGGCCCTGGGCAGCCTGCAGTGGACAGAAAGGACAGAGACTGTTCTTGAGGGGCCAGCGTTCTGTCAGGCCTTGCTGGCTTCTGTCTCCCGAAGCCGTCAGGTACGGTGGCTTGTTCTGTGCTCTGGAAAGCTCATTTCCACCGTGTGAGCTCAGGCAGTGACACATAAGTACTTTGTTCTCCAGTCGATTCTGTCGCCTCCCCGACTAGACCTCAAGTGTATGTACGAAAGATCGGCTTACCTCCCCTCTGTAATGTCTGAAAAGGGAAGTGATGTGCAGAAAGTCCCTGCGATTCCTACAGAACGGGTTAGCACGGAAGGCTATTAGCACGTTTGGGACAGAAATGTAACAGAAGAATTTGCTGTCAGCACCAATCCTACATGCAGACAGATGTGACTTACGCAGAGAGAGAAGGAGAGGCAGAGGGCGGACACGAGGCCAGCCAGGAGCCAGGCCTCTTATCACCCGGGTGACCCGGGGAACCGGGGCCCCAGCACTTACCGAAAGTCCGGTGGAGATTCTCTGAAAGGGAACACATGAGCCTGTGTTACTTAAAACTGTTTCTAGTGATACAGGGAGGGACTGCCTCCACCCCGGCTGACAGCAGGTTGGTGAAGCCAAGTTGGCGCAATTTAAATGCCACAGCCTTTCCGTGGGAAGGGGGCACTGGGAGGATATCAGAGAAAATGGCCAAAACCAAAGGGAGGGGCGGCAGATGGAGCGAGACTGAAACTCACCTATCTCTGCCCGAAGTTTTCCTAAAACAGAGAAAGGCAGCATTTTTAGTGCCGGCGCTGGCATTGGACGGGGCCCCTTTGGCCCCTGGCAGCCGGGGGGGGGGGGGGGGGGGGGGGGGGGGGGGGGGGGGGCTGGCTTTACTGTCGACCCTCCCCCGGAAGGTTCTCCGTTCCGAGGCCCCCTTGGCCCCTCAGGGCTGTCACTTTGTAAATCTAAAGCCACTTCCTGTCTGAATGGGGACGGGAGGAAGGAAACCTTCAGGAGGACTGGTACTTAGAGGCGGGGTCCCAACTGGACGCTTTGCATCACAATATCCCCTGGGGCGGACGGGCGGCTTCCACCCCAGGCTGTTCCTGCTCCGCCACGTGAATGGAGGTCACCGGGTACCCAGGAGAATTCAAGGGGACAGAGGACCCCTTCATTGCTCCTGCCAGCGTGCCCTCCCCAGGGGTGGGAAGGGGGACAGGGCCCTGTGTGTTGGCTTTGAGGACACCTGGAAGAGAAGGCTCTGCACGGACACTCGGGGCACAAAGGGACTTCTCGGACAGTGTTGGACGGAGAAGAAGGAGGAAGTGTCTTGAGCATCTAGTACGCGGCGGGTCCTTACTAACCCTCCTCCAGACACAGACCCGTCCAACCCTGCAGCTCAGTCTCCCGGTGTGGTTCGGGTGAGGCCAGCTCTGCCCCCTACAAGGCAGTCAGCCTCAGTAAATACCGAAGCTGTCCGGGCCTCAGTGCGTCCTCTGTAAAATGGGCCGTCCTACATCGGGCCTACCTCAGAAGGAAATGCAAGGTCCTGTTACACAAACGAAAGCACCGGGCAAGACGTAAAACTTGTCATCGTGGAGTTTTGAACCCAGAACTCACTCAAAACCACACATCAGCCAACCAAGCTCTAGAGGCCAGCTGGGTTCAGGGAAGGGTCCCAACAGCCCACCGTGCAGCCTGTACCTCTCAGTCTGTGCTGCAGGCAGAGGTAGACGAGGCCCAGCGAGATCTGCAGGAGGAGCACGGGGAGGACAGCCATCAGGACCAGCACCCCGGGGTTGATCCAGTAGAAGGGATCTGAAAGGCAGAACCAGGCTGCACGCCCAACACCAGCACAGCACCTGCGTGCGTCCAGCGGGCCAGGAACAAGCGTCTCCCGGGGTCAAAGAAGATGGCAGAGCTGAGCTTGGCCTCAAAGGAAAGGCAGGTTTGCTTCCAGGAAGGGCTGGTTATTGGCAGGGCTGTTCCCTAGGCCAGTCGCAGAGTTCTGAGAACCAGCTAAGACTCGGGGCTGGGCCTCGAGGCCGCGGGGGTGACATAGAGAAAGGTTAAGAACCCATCTTGTGGAGGGTTTGAGAAAGTAGCACCCACAGGGTTTATGAGTAGGGATGTGGTAGGACCGTAGGAGGGCCGGCCTCTGGCTCCCACCTACCATTTCCTTCCTGGGATCTTGTTCCTTGGGACCCTTTGGGCCAGGCTGATCTCAGTGTGCCCAGCTGGGGTCCAGCCCTTTTCTTCTTGCTACCCCCTCTGGGGGGCCAGATAAAGACCCTGCTGTCAAAGGTGGGGCTAAGTCACTGCAGGCAGCTGGTCCAGGAGGCTTCTTAGGAAGAAAACCCTTGGAGCTGCAGGTTAGGCTGCGCAAATTGCTACGCTGACCAGAAGGAAGTGCCAGTCCCTCTCTCAAAGTTCTCGCCAGCAGCCACCTGCAGTGGTTTAGTTAGCAGCTTGTGCTTTGCCCACCTCTGTCCCTTCCCACGGGGTTAGAACCACAGACAAGAAAGGGAGTGATACCAGCCTTTCTGAAGTGAAGCAGTAAGGACTCTGAATGCCTGAAAAATTAAACCGGAATCGGAGTGAACTTCCCTGGTTCACAAGAAAAGCGCAGGCAGACCACGTGATGAACGGTGTGGGAGACCCCACAGGACACAGGCGAGCGGTGGGTCCGTTGGGGTCGGACTCAAACTAAGCAACATGAAGATATGTTTGTGAGGCAGTCGGGGGAATCCGAACACAGAGTGGGCATTGATGATGTTAAGGAATTTTTGTTAATTTTAGAAGATATGATAAGAGTATTGATTTATCTCTCATTCGAGTGATAGTTTTCCCCAGGTGAACTCCACCTGCACGTGGGGCTCACGACCCGAGTCACGT